CTTATTCACCCCACGTTTCATCGGCTGTCTGGGACCGTGAAGTGTCCGGGCACGTGTGCGTGCACGGCGTGGGTCCCGCGCGGGGCTGCCCAGCCGGCTCCAACCATGATCAACCCCGTGTGGACACGCTTGGCTCCATATTGCGACGGGTATTCGGGGATCCGTCGACGCCACGTTTGGCCACGTTCTCGCAGAGAAGACCGAAGCGACCCGCCAGTCGTTTCGAAGCCGTCGTGCTGACCGGGTGTGTCGTCGAGAGAGCAGAGCCGCGCCGGTTGCTATCTCTCCCTCTCTTGTTCCTCTCTCTTTCTCTCTCTCCATCTCACTCCCCCTATCGTTCTCCTCCCTCTTTCTTCCCGCACGAGGCAGAGAGAGCCCCCAGACCTGGTCGACGTCGTCCGACGAGAAGTCCGCCAGTACGCGTCGCACTTTCCTCTTCGCTTGCCGCGAGTATACCGTGTTGTTGACCATGAAGGGTGCTATCGTCGTTCTGCTGCTGGCAGTGCTCCGTAAGTTGCCTATCATCATCTACCACGACGCCGAAACGGCGCCGCGTTTCAACCAGATATATCCCGGCGAGCTTTCTCGCGAACGTTCGATTCCGCGCCGTGACTCTCGGCGACCAGATTTTCCGCCGAGACTGCACCGCGCCTTCGGAGCTCCCTTCGCGAGGGCACGTGCGAATTCGCGGACAGGACGCGCGAGGCCTAATCGTCTAATTCGGAATTTCTTTTCCCTCGAAGGAGGCTCGGTCTGTCGCGATTCCGCGCGCGGGTTTCTTCGATGGGATCTTCTCGGAGACGTCGAAGTTCACGGGAACTTCGCTGCCACGGCTCAGCTTTTTCACGCGTACTCGCGCGTTTGTGCGAGTCGTCGCCGTCGTTGCGTAACCAAGGAACACCCTCCGCACAATACTGATCGCCGCGGACAGCGGCCAGAGGCGTTCTTTCCTGCGTGTGTCGCGAATTCACGCAATTGAATCCCTCGCAACGGAATCGAACACGGCGCAGAGACCGCCGCTCCTCTCTTCCCGTCGCGATCCTTTAACGATCTCCGACGGGAGGGAACACGAAGGCAGCCGTCTCTCGCGGATTTTCTACGCCTCGTATCGATTAGATCCTAGAGCAGCGGACGTTTCTCGATCGTCGAGCGCTCTCTCGGCGGCTCTCGCTCCCCGTTGTTTCCACCGGCGCGGAGCCGAGATCAACCCTTGCGCGCCGTTCCCGTAATTGCGACATTGACACGTCCGCTGCCACCGTCTCGGGGCCCGATGACATAATTACTTTGGCCCTGTTCGCGAAATTCGTCGACGAGGAACGGAATCCGGATCTTCGACGGGCTTCGCGTGTTTCGTTCTATTTCGACGCGTTCGGTTGGATCGTGGGAAATTGTGGCAATCCGTAGAGTTCGAGATTTTGCAGTCAAAAAAAGATTATTTCAGTAAAACGATGATTTTTTTCTGCTGCGGAGAGTCACGGAATTGAATTATTCCCTTGCGAAAGGATGATGGATTTTGCAGAAGCTTGCGAGGTTTGACATTTCGGGGTGGAATTTGATGGGACGCGAGAGCCGTTTTAGAGAATCGATTCGATGTATTTTAATAAAGGGGTAATTTATATTCTGTCGTAAAGAGTCGGAGAATTAAGGATACAGATTTTGATATGCTTCGAGAGCTTTTCCTTCGAATTACTAAATAATTTAAATTACTAAATAAATCGATTGTTAAATAGTTCAATTACTAAGTAATTAAACTTTAATCGCTGAATATTGCAGCAGACGATAGAATTCGAAATTGATTGAAAGCGTGACCCGTTTTAGAGAATCGATTACAATGTATTTCAATAAAAGGATAATTTGTTTTCTGTTGAAAAAATTCAGAGAATCAAGAACAAATATTTTATATGCTACACGAATTTATCCTTTGAATTACTGAATAATTTGAATTACTAAATAATTTGAATTACTAAATAATTCAACTTTAATCGCTAAATATTGTAGCAGACTAAAGAATTCGAAATTTTGGGGTTAAATTTGATCTCAAAAGCGAGAGTCGTTTTGGAGAATCGATTCAGTTCGATAAAGGAAAATAAATTTCGATAAAGGATAACTTATTTTCTGTTGAAAAAATACAGAGAATCAAGAACAAACATTTTATATGCTACACGAATTTATCCTTTGAACTACTGAATAATTTGAATTGCTAAATAATTCAAGCTTAATCGCTAAATATCGAGCGGTCTGCAGATTTCGAAATTTTGGGGTAAAATTTCTTTGAAAGCGAGACTCGTTTTAGAGGATCGAATCCACGTATTTTAGCAAAAGGATAATTTCTCTTCCGTTGGAAAGAACGACTTCGATTCTGTAGAACGTGAAACGCGGATAGAAACCGGAGCTTTTCTTTCTCACAGTTGAATCGACATCGGTGCACGGGGGGGTTAGAGGACTTTATTCGTCTCGGTACGTTGCTATAGAAGCGAGCGGCTGGATCGAATTGTCGATTCTCGACCACGATATGCTATCAAATTCATGAAACTGCAGGTTTCGAAAAATATCACTTTGTTCTGAATTGCGTTTTCACGGGACGCCCAAATAACACGTTTTGTCTCCTAAAATATTGGAGGAGATTGACGGCGCAAAAGAGTGGATTTTTGGCATGATTTCTCTTGACTTTGGCTGCCGCGTGATTATTTTATCAATCTTGAAACTGGAGTTTTATTAGTCTATTTTAAACAAACCATAGTTCGTTAAAAGTTTTCTGATTCAATTCCAAGAAACAACGATTCTAATAACCTCAATTAATTAAAACGAATGCAATGAGATCCTTGAATTCTTGTGACGTCTTCGTCGTTTCGTATTTCATGTAAACAATTTAATCGTAAATATATACGAAAATCAAGTTCGTTAAAAGTTTTCTGATTCAATTGCAAGAAACAACAGTTCTTCTAACAATCTCAATTAATTAAAAAGATTGAAATGAGATCTTTGAATTCTTCCGATGTCTTCGTTATTTTGTATTTCATATAAACGATTTAATCGTAATTACATGAAATCCGCGGAATGATGATAATCTCATTCATCTATTTTTGCATTACTATATACAGGTTGTCCTAAAATTATGGTACTTCCGGGAAATGCGGGACTCCTGAGGCGATTTGAAGCAACTTTTTCCTTAGCGAAAATGCAATCCGCGGCTTCGTTCACGAGTTATTAAAGAAAAACACTGACCAATCGGAGAGCGAGTGCGGCCGGCGCTTCGCCCTTGCGGCCAATGCCGCGTCGCGCTGGTCGACTAACGCAGTAGCAGTGGTCGTGAGGGCGGGGCGTCAGCCATACGCCATCATTGGTCAGTGTTTTTCGTTGATAACTCTTAAACGAAGCCGCGGATTGAATTTTCGCTAAGGAAAAAGTTACTTCAAATCGCCTCAGGAATCCCTCATTCCCCGGAAGTGTCATAATTTTATTGCCATACAGGGGACACCCTGTACATCCTCTTCTGATTTTGCGTGACTTTTACGGGCTCCGTTGTCACAGTAAACTATACAATTTTCCCAACTATCCAACAAAATTTCCCCAAAAATCGATCCGCGGCGCACGGAGCGAAAATTGCCGGAGAATTGGTCCGCGTAACTGCACTAAATCCGAGGGCCTCGTTAGCGCGTCGTTCCTCGACATTTCGAAAACGCGTGGGCCGCTTGAAAAGTTTGTCAAGCTCCTGGACGAGAGTTCGAAGCACGGTGATTCCCGGAGAGCAGGCGCGACGGAGAAGAACCCGCTTAAATTAGCGGATTGATTTTCAAAGAAGGACAGCGGCGTTTGCTTGTCGCGTTCCGTCGAAGTGGCCTCGTGAGACGGGATTAATTTCGAAATGCAAACGCGGTGTTAAGCTGGGTCACAGCGCAGCCAGGAGCTGCGACGCGTTGGCTGCTCGAGCCGCGTTTCTCCAGCTTCTTTCTCCGTTTTTCCGCGTTCCTCGGCTGCCGTTTCCCAGCGCTTTCCAACGGAACGGTGGCGCTCTTTGTAACGCGGTGCCCCCTCTTAAAAATAGATTAACACCGTGAACGTGCCGTGCCGGGTGCCGCGTTGAGCCGCGCCTGACATGCAACTAACGCGCCGCGCAAAAATACTGCGAAAATAAACTGCTCTTAGAGGCCGCTTTGCCCGATGCCGAACGCCCTCCTCATTCGAAATAACCGGCGCCGATTGATTCGATTGCGCATCGCGCGAAAACTCTGATCGCGGCACGCAAGGATGCTCGCGGAATTTGAAAACCGCGCCCTTTCAGCGTCCTCGCGAACGTCGGCGATCAGAAATAGCGGAGGCAATGATCCGCGAGTGTCTCAAAGCGGCAAATGTCTTTATATGTGTATGTATGTACATACATATTTCTGTATAAAATATTATATAGAAATTATATAAAAATATTATGTGATGAATATATATATATATATATATGTCATTTATATATATAAATTATATTGAAATATTATATAATTATATACAAATTATATTGAAAATATTATATATTAAATATATATATATATATTTAATGTATAATATCTTCAATATAATATTTTTAATATATAAAATATAATATTTATTTTCCAATTCATGTTCCCCCGGGATCACATTAGTTCCCCGGGGGGAACTAATCATCATTACGGAGGCTAACATTGAATAAAATATAAAGACAAATATAAAATAGCGTACAATAAGATCAAATATAGGCTAAAATGGATATCGTGAAAAATAGGCTAAAATAAAATTTAATTGGCTAGGATGATGCAGAATGATAATAGTTAATAAATAAAAAGAGTTAATAGTTGATAGATAGTAATAGTTAATGGATAGCAAAATCAGAGAATTAATATATAATAGAATAAGCTAAAATTCGAATAATAGAAAATGAATTAGCTTAGAATTTATTACAATTGTTATTGTATATCAGTTTCGTCAAATTAAAATACTTCATTTTATCAAATTATAAGTTAAAAGGTAACGCTGCACGATTACTTTCTGAAATGAATAAGATATAACAGAGATTATCGTAGCAATTAATTTCCCGATGTGTCGGTGTGTTAACAAGATAACAATCTCTGTCTATCATAATAACCATGAGAAAAGAAATATTAGAAATATCTTAATCCGAGGCTTAATCCTTGGCTTACGTTTTAATTGGATCGGAGCATGTTTTTTTGTTCTAGTCGCTGTGACATACGACAGCTTGTCGGATCGATTAGATAAGCAGCTTGAGTTTACGTTTTTACAGATGCATAAAATATGTTAGCGTTTAATACGTTCGTTGGCAAAAGAAGCCCGAACTGTTCGAACCATAATATTTGCCGGGACGGAAACGTTTCAAAACTCGGGCGAAATCGTTTTCCGAAATATCCCGCGAATAATACACTATTCTCGATACACGGTTCAAGACGAAATCGACTATTTACCCGGTTCGCGAACGGTGTAACACCGTGGTCTCGTCGGGTTCGATTCGTCTCAGTGAACTTGTTCT